GGTTAACTCTCTGGTCTTGCCATCTTCAGAGAGAGGGGCAGTGTCTCCTTTACTGTAAAACTCACATTCCCTCCTTACCCACTTCTCTTCAGAACTACACATTTATTTCCCACCTTTAACCCAGTACCACCATGAATACAGAAACCTAGCTTTTCATCAATCTCATGAAAATGACTTAGAAAACATATAATATTAAGCCTTTTTTTTTTTTTTGAGACAAGTCTCAAGCTGTCACCCTGGGTAGAGTGCTGTGGCATCACAGCTCCCAGCAACCTCCAATTCCTGGGTGTAAGCGATTCTCTTGCCTCAGCCTCCCAAGTAGCTGGGACTACAGGCGCCTACCACAACACCTGGCTATTTTTTGGTTGTAGTTGTCATTATTGTTTGGCAGGCCCAGGCTGAATTCCAGCCTGCCAGCTCTGTTGCATATGGCTAGCATCTTAGCTGCTTGAGCTACAGGCACCAAGCCAAAGCTTTTCATTCGATCTTTCCAGTTCTGTTCATTTTTTACAATTGCACAAAAATAAATATGGTCAGTTCACATATAGTGTGAGAAACACCTCTTTAATAAACTTTTTATTATTCGTATTATAAATTGTATCAAAAATGTACATGAAAGAACTTTTCTTCCAATTGCAATACAGTATTATTAATTTTTATATACTTTTTGCATAGCGTAAGTGTATGCAGCCCAAAGATTTTATTTTTAAGACACCAGTAAATGACAAAAGATGTCAGAAGAAATTTGAGAAAATGGCTGAAGAGCTACAAAGGCAAAAAACAACTCTAGGTAAGCCAAGAAATGTAATACAGCCCTTTGCGTCTGTGTTTATGCATCTCATTTAACTTGCCTAAGGACCAGTGGCATTCAGGACGAGGTAGATAATGAAGACTGCAGTAGTTCTAGGCTAGGAAGGAGAAGAGAAAATGTCAGCCCACAGGAAACTGGACTAGGAGCCATAATAGAGGTGTATAGTTGACGTGTTCAGCCATCGTCTAGGTTGTTCATCAAATTGAGAGAACTTTTTTCCTTCTAGGAATGATTATAGAAGAAAGGCAAGCCGTGTCTAATAAGCCTTGTTTGAAATAAATATCTTTATATGTAACTTTGTATTTTTACCTAATACTTGGTCTTTTTGTTTTGTTACCCAGATAGAATGGCAAATCTTAGATGATATATTTTAGTAATTTAGAAAATACTTTAGAATATCTGAAAATATTTAAAGTATCATGTATGGTTTTGTTGTTTCTTTTTTGCCTTTTTCACTGTCCTCTAAAGTTAGCCTACCATTCCAGGCCTGACACACCATTACTACAAATAAGCAATTGTACTGATCAGGTAATGTATTGTACAGAAAGGGGAAGCATCAATTCTTCTAGTTTTTTCCCTTTGATTTAATCCTACATTTCTCTGTCCCAAACTTTCTACTTTACATTTTGAAATTATTCAAATAGAATTATCAAGCTTTATTTTAAATCTATGATGATAATGCAACAGAATTGAGTAGAGCATTTAGCCCATACAGTGCTGTCACGTAATTTCTCAAAACCATGGCCTTCTTCATTTGTTTTTGTGGTCAGCCTTCCTGCTGCCTCGCTGGGTGTGTGCTGATCTTCCCTCACAAACCATCTTCCTTGCTGCTGAAGTCAGAAATAAGCTTTTGTCCTTGACACCAAAACCCCTCAAGATCATGAGTTTACTTCTGGAATAACTGCTTGACTCCTTCTGTTTTCTCCTTCTCCACCTTGGTGTAAAATTCCTTGGTGTCATCCCAAGGAGAATTATAAAATCCTGTGTTTAACATGCCCCACCTACTAGAGCCTATATGAAGTTAATTTGTGGATCTGTGAGTGTGTGTTGAGGGTGGAAGCAGTGAATGATGGGAGTGGTTTCTGAAATACTGTTAAAAATCATTTTTAAGAATCAAATTACATTCTGGCTTTATAACTTCTTAATGCTTATAAGATTCTGGGACAGTTATTTAATTTCTGTATCATAGTTTGCGTTTACATGGGGATACCTAACATGTTAGGTTTGGCTGGGAAATGGTTGGGTGAATTAATGCACAACTCCTGGGGAAAGGTTATTGCTCAGCCAGTTAACCATCACCTGTAGTATCATCATTACTGACTGAGGAGGTGGGGTCACAGAACCTTAGTAGGAGGAGGTGATGATATTGAGAAGGAAAGAGGAAAGGTACGGGAGTGGGGAACAGGTGTCCCTTAAAAGGAATTATGTTGAAGTTTGAAGGCATTTTTTTGAGCTGTAAAGTTGAATTTTTGTTTATTTTCAGGTAGTGATGTACCTGTTCTTTTATTTGAATCTAATGGTTCATTAATATATAGTCCCCCAAGTAACAGTAGTAGTCACCACAGCACAATGGAGAAGAGATTACAACAGATAAAAGAGAAAAGCGAAAATCTTCCTCCTACCCGTAAGTCATTATTTTTTGTAAAATGAAAATTATACAAATCATAAATTGTGGTGGAAAGATTTTTTTCCCTAGATATTTAATGTTTCATGATTTTAACAATTTTTCACTTATTTCAGGAGAGACTTTGTTAATATTTTCTTCCATCAGGATTTTTCAAGCATATATCTGGTGTTCTGGAAGGCGTCTAGTGTCCTCCAGGTTAAAATGCTACTTGGTGTAGCTCCTTTGCCATTTCTGTCTTTGGAATTTCTTCTCTATTTTAAAAAGTTAAGTTAATCATGTTTCTCTGTAAGGAATTTGGGTTTGGTTGGTTGGTTGGTTGGGGTTTTTGTTGGGTTTTGTTCGTTTGCCAAGTCCTGATGGCATGGAAAAGAATTTGCTTTAGGTTAATATATCTAAGAAATCAATTTATACTTTCTTTATATCTTTCATCCTTAACATTTTTAATCACTTAAGTAATTGAGCACATTTTAATAACATATTTTAAAACTTAGCTAATAGTAAAAATTCATCTTTAGTCCCACCTAATTGGTAAGATCTATGTTTAAGGTCAGATATCTAGCCTGTCTTGGGTTTATATTTGCGTGTGCTATGAAATGAGCACCTGTGTCAATTAAGGTTAGTTTGGGCTTAAACAAGGCAACAGGCAAACCAACAACTTAAATTAGAATTGCCTTTCTGTCATGTCAAGTCCAGAAGGTCTGGGTGGCATTCCATGATGTCTTTAAGAATCTAGGTTTCTATCTTTCTGTTTTGCCCTCCTGGGTCCCTGGCTTTAGTTCCAAAATGTATGTGCCTCCCAGCTGAGCCAGTTCCCATGGACAGCTTTCCCGGTATTCTCCCTAGTTCCATTGGCTGAGACTTGGGCATTCAGACACTCTACCCTGCCCAAGTATAGTCTTCCCTAGGGTGCATTGCTGTACTGATAAAATCAGAGTTCTGTTCTTAGAGGAAATTGAGAGTGGATATTGAAACTTAACCTGTGTCCTAAATGGACATCCAGATTGTTTCAACCTGTAGTTATGTATATGAACTGATTTGCCTTAAACTGTTTTTTTATTACTGTGTTAATTCTCCCATTTCCCTGCATCCAACATAGTTTTAAACTTAACTACTGAAACTTTATCTCTGTAATAAAATAACTGTAACTCATAAACATACATATTTTTAAAATGTGAAAACCCTTGTTTTGGTTGGGGTGATAATTTTTCCTGGTTATATCTTTACTTTGGATATATTAAATTTCTTAAAATTTTCTTACCTATAATAAGAACTCATACATTTCCCTTAAAATTAGGTATTATAATAAAATAAAGGTATAGGTTAAAGTTCATTTTTGGTTCCTTGGGTTTTCTCATAGGCATTGACTTTTCTGCTGCAGAATAAACCAAGATAAGTAGGGTTTGTTTTCTTTTTCAATTATCTGCTCAGATCTTCTCAGAAAAGTATCCTTTTGAGTTTCTTTAAAAAATATTTTTGGATTTTAGACTCAGGCATTTCTTTTGTTTCTTGTCTGCTGTACATACTGCCTTTGAAGATAACATTTTGACCTTATTTGTTAAATCATTGATATTCTAGATGTTTCCTATGAAACACTAGGTTTATCATCCTCAGCTCCATTAACATTCTAGGGTAGAAAATTCTGTGTTGTAGGCACTGTCCTATGCGTGATGAGGTGTTCAGCTGCATCTCTGCCTCTCCCCGCTGTATGCCAGTGACATACCTCACTCTCCCTCCCTCCCTCACTTGGGACATCCAAAAATGTCTCCAGACATTGCCGAATATCCGGTGGGAGCCCAGCTAACCCCTGGCTGAGAACCACTGCACTAATTATAGAAGTAACTATTAACAATCATCCTTAAAGGAAAGGCTGACTGAAAATGTTCATTAACTTTGTTGAGCTTCTGATTAGGTTCAAGCAAGTTGACTTTTTAAGATCCCCTCTAACTTTTATGATTTTATGATTTAATAGAATCACCATAGCTTCATCTACTAAAAAATATTGAAGTTGTATCTAATGAAATGTTTTAATTCTGTTTTCAGCCTCCCAAATAATCATACACCCTCACGATAATCCACTCTCTGTGTGTAACTCTCCGTGTGATGCATCTTTGAACACTTCACATGCTCCTTTGGGTTCAGGTAAAATTATCATTTTCTTTTCTGTAATAAATCTAAGTTCTGAGAATAGTATGATATTTTTTATTTCGTAATGAGGAACAGTCAGAACTAAGGAAAAATTGTTTCACACAATATGTAATAAACATACAGAGTATGTTATGCCATGGGGTCAGTCAAGTATATAAAGGTCATCAATAAATATAGGAGATAAATATTTTTCATTACAAGCAGAAAGAGTATTGATAAGAATTAATGGAATTGGTTATATGATATACATATATGTTTTATGATTGTAAGAAACCTTGTTTGGGTTGAGATTATGATTTTTCATGGTCAGATCTTTATATCAGTTGTATAAAATTTCTTATAACCTTCTCACTCAGGCCACAATAGGACTGAAGTAAGTAGCAGTGATCCTGAGAAGTACTGTGTTCAGAAGTGCTTGAAAGGCTGTGGGGCGTCTTCATCTTGGACGCCACAACAGAGCAATGTGCAAATCAGGGTCGAGATATTAGGAGTTTAAACTAAAGTTTCCTTTCAATGTGTGGTTTATTCTTACGGTCTCTTTTGTGTATGCTGGAATTACCCATTTATCTTAAATCTCCATCTTTTTGTTTATACTTGACATATTTATTTCTTATAAGTTAGAAACAAGTAATAACAATAGCTAACACTGACTTCACTTCTGCTGTGTTGTAGGCTCTGCTCTAAGTGTTTTATTTACTGTATCTCATTTAATTCTTTAGCCCAATGAAGTAGGTGCTATCACCACTCTCATTTTGCCACTAAGAAAACCAGGACACGGGTCAACAGCTTGTACACGGTCTGGTCATGTGATTTATGAGTGGCAGACCCAGGCTTCGAACTTAGGCAGTCTCACTTTAGAATTTACACTCTTGATGATATGTTGCACTATTTGTCGGCTTTTTGAAATGTGCAATAAACATATTTAGCTGCTACAATTAAAAGTGACAGCTATTTCCAACCTCTACCGTAGGAACCCAGAAGTCTGTCTGACTTGACACAAACCCAGCACCACCCTCTGGTCTTCCTTCCCTCAGGACAGCAGTAAGAGAAGGGCTCTGTCTACTCTGTTCTTTTTTAAAAGTAGACCTTCAGTGATTTCATTCACAAAGTTGCAACACTTAGTTTATCTCTAGATAGAGTGATTTCTGTAAAATAGAGGCCCTCTACAAACAATGGCTGAGCCCTTCTTTGGAAGCCAGCTTGGAGCTGTAGACATTAGGCTCCTAAATGAGCAGAGAGTTTGTGTCTGTCCTTTAGTGACTCACTAGTAAGAGGGGCAGATGCACACCACAGTGCAGCGTGGTGCATACTACTGTGTAATGGGAGTGGGAAGGACATGGCCAAGGTTCACAGGAATTTGATGACTCAGGTAGGCTTTGAAGGATGAGTGGTATGTATCCAGAGTAAAGGGGAGGAGAGGCAAGGAAGGTCCAGAGGTACAGAAGAGTATAGAATTTTCAGGGGAGAAGTAGTAGCTTAGTGTTACCCTCAAGAAATGTATAAGCTATAGATGGTTCACTTTTGAACATAAATACTATACAAGGACTTAACTAGAAGGCAAAAATGGTAAAAGTGAGCTATATTAATTGGAGGAATGTGTCATGGAAGACTAGAAATTGACCTGGACCGTAAAGCAGTAGCTCTTAAGTTTTAGAATTACTGCCCTCCCAGAGAATTTACTGACAAACTACGGGTGCTCTTCCTGGAAAAAAAAATGCACCTGCATCAGGAAATTTCCAGAAGTTTGTTAAACTTCTTTTCCACTCCAACCTTTATTTCATATATTCACTGAAGCATGGGTTCCTTAGTAAAAACACTGGCCTAAAGGACGGCACCTGTGGCTCGAAGGAGTAGGGCACTGGCCCCGTATACCAGAGGTGGTGGGTTCAGACCTGGCCCCACTCAAAAGCTGCAAAAAAATTTTTAAAAAAAAGGTTATTAAAATACTGGCCTTAAAAGTATCCTTAAATAAAAACAAGAAGAACAAAATACAGTCAGTACTATTCTTAACTAATAGTTACACTTAAAAACTCTTATTTTAGTGGTCAACTGCAAATGATACTTAGTGTAATTTAAACCATTTTTAAAAGTTGATTCTTTATTAATAATTTTCAGATGAATCCTTTGCTGATGGTTTACATTCATCTTTTGATGCTCTTTGTGGAAACTCAGTTTGTGGAAATCAAGAAAGGAAATTGGGAGGATCCATTAATGAAATTAAAAGTGATATGTGTGTTTCTTCACTTGTACTGAAAGCAGATTTTATTAATTCATCAGCATCTTCCAGTTACCTCAGCCAATTAAGTCCTCAGAAATTGATGAGTAATTTTTCCAAGAAAGAAAGAAATTGGCAGAGACATACTGTTGGTGAAATAGTCACCCCTGATAGACAGCAAGCTGAAGAGGTCCCTAGACAGACGTTTCATGAGAAGTACAGTTTGTCTCCTACATTATCTTTGAAGAAAGGCCAACCTTTGGTACATTCACCAATTCCCAGGAGTTCCTCAGTAAAGAGAAAAAGAGCATCAGAGGATTTACATTCAATTCCAAAAGAAAAACTAAAAAGAAAGAGATCTACCAGGAGATCCATCATGGCAGGGCTGCAGCTGTGTCAGTTGGAAAGCAGCCTGCCGCTCACGACCAGATCTGCAGCAGAGACTCTTGATTACTGGGAGTCCTCCTACGATGATTATTTTTCACCTGATAATCTTAAGGAAAGAAATTCAGAGAGTCTTTCTCAGTCCCAGCCACCATCAAGCCCTGCTCTTTTCAGCTGCAAAAGTCTTTCTAAGAGGGAGAGAACAAGCATATTAGAAATGTCTGATTTTTCCTGTCTTGGCAAAAAAACCACATCGGCCAGTATTACTGATTTAATAGCAAAACCCAGCTCCAATCTGCAGAAAACTACAAATGACGAAAATGGTACAACTTCAAGTTGCACTACATCTGAGGAAACATCTATCACTAAGGAAGCTCCAGTGTGTTACAGACAGGCTGGCCCACAGGGAGGAGACACCTGCCAAGGTGGACATAGCTTTTCCTGTGCCACTGATGACCCTGTTCATCTAGACGGACCTCATGGAGATTTAACTTCTTTGAAAGAAAGGTATAATGAAATGAATGAAGTGGTTGATATAAAAAGCACACAGAAAGAGGGTGCCACGTCCAAAATGTTGAACTCTTCTGAAGGTGAAGCACAAAATAACTATAGACTATATTTTGTACATGACTGTAATGTGGAAAAATTTATGGAAGAGAAAGAAGACTTAGCCTGAAGTTATAGTGAATATATATGAATCTCTTTTTCCAAGTATCTTTATTAAATGAATGTGTAATACTGTAGCCATATTTTAAATTTATCACAACTTTTTTATAATTTAAATTACTTCACCCTTTTAAAGATTCTATGTTGGGTATTTTCCAATGATAAATTCTTTAGGAATAGATGACTTGCCGCCCTGTGGAATCTTTAGGCTTTATTGGTCAAATCTGTTGTTAGGAACACATTTCTCCCAAGTTTTTCCCCCCTTAGAAATCCAAAGAGTGAGTAAAACCTAGTATGGATAATTGACTTGGAGTGAATCCTTTGTCCTTGTCCCATTTTAGCCTCTTACTATATATTGTATATGTCTCACTACAACATAAGTATTGTAGAAAGAGGAATACTAATAGAAAGTTTAAAAAAAAAAAAGGCTGTTTAAAGAATTTTGGGGCAATGTTAACTGTAAATTTTTTTTTTTTTTTTACAGTTTTTTCGGCCAGAGCTGGGTTTGAACCCGCCACCTCCAGTATATGAGGCTGGCATCCTACTCCTTGAGCCATAGGCGCTGCCCTGAATTTTTTTTTTTTTAAAAACATTTTTTCTCAAGTAAGAAGTTCCTTTGTAATAGGCCTTGACTTCTATTTATTTTGCTTAAAAGCATAACATTTAAACAGATCTATTCTTATCCATAGTTTAATTGTAATCATAATTTGTAATGAAGGACATAATACAGCTATAGTTACAGTTACTGGAGCATAAGTATCAACAACAAAAAGCATTTTTCAGTTTTATCATTATAGGCACAAATAAGTTCCAAAATCAAAGACCATCTTTGCCCAAAGATTTGATTAAAATTAGAATAAAACCAAATTTACTCTTCATCATTTCTCTCCTTTTCAAAAAGTTTTAACCACCGTTTTCCGGTTGGAGAAGTCATGGTGAGGTTTGAAATAATAACAGATCTATCACTTATTTTTTTCCTTGAATACAAAATCATCTCACAGAAATAATTAAAATGATTTTGTGTATTTTAGTCTACTGGTTATATCTTAGCTTTCTTAATAATTATTACATTTGATAAGAAGCAGTCTTTTATGTTCCATTAGGCTTAGTATGTGTTTTGAAAATATTTATTTTAAAATGATGTTCACTCTAAATGTAAAATAATAGATGTATAGAATTGTTTTGCTAGTTAACAATATTCTCTTACATTCTCATTCTTCTCAGTTTTTAGTCTGTTTTTTTTTTTAAGCCTTTGAATAATCTCAGTGACATGCAAATGTAATTTAAGTGGAGAAAGCTGATTTCAAATAGTGCGGCACAGCTTAAAATCTCAGTACTGTCAAGAGTCATCAGTAGTCCTTGTAAGCAAGTGTATTCATGTTCTAGAACTTAGGCCCCAGTGTCACAGCCCCCTAGGGTCTGACATGAATAGAAGAGGATTCAGGAGCAGGCACTGGTTGACCCACTGGGACTTCATTTAGAGATGTTGGCAGTCGTATGGACAGACCATCACATAGTGGACGGGCCCTGGTGAAACGTGGCTCAGATGGAAGCATTCGGTATGCTCTCGCATCAGGGCTTCTAAAGTCATCTACCTTCTCATCATTACCCAAAGACAGAAAATCATTGGATTCTAGGCCGGGGAGAACTTAACATGTTCTCTCTCCTAAATCTGACATCTTTTTATAATAATAAAATTGAGACTTTGTGATGTTTTAAACTATCCACTGTCAACCCACTGGGACTCAGGTAAACCAACTCTCTTTTAGAATCTGCCTTAGATGAAACCATAAAGCCTTCAGTTTAAATGTCAGATATGCACATCCCATACCTGCTGAAATTGTGGAGCACCAAGACTTCTGTATGTCAGATTATACCATCAAATCTTGCATGTTGAAATAAAGCTCTTTTTTCAATTTCTGTCTTCACTTGGCTTGTTGTCGATATCTAAGATAGCGTATAATAAAGGTTTCAAGAACAAATTATGGGAGCAGGTGCAGCAATTGCAGAGAATGAAGCATTGTGCCCCCCTTCTGGAGGGGGACAGACAGTAAATGAATGCATAGCACTGTCAACTTGTGAGCAATTAGTGATGAAAAGATAATAGTGCATGAGGTGAGGCAGCCAGCAAAGGCGTCCATGAGGAGGTGACATCAGATCACAGGCCTGGGAAGCCAGAGGGGAACCTGTGACTGTGCTGAAACCATGTCCTAGCCCCAGGATGCAGTGAATACAAATCCTGATCAAAACATTGAATCCCATAATGGCATAAATGTATTTATGATCTATGTACAAATGACTTAATAAATAAATAAAAGAAAGAAAAATGCTTGCAGGAGCCACAAGAGGGCCAGTGCGGCAGCACTCACTGGGCTGAAGGAGAATAGGAGGGAGGGAACAAGGTGGCAAGGTGGGGAGTTATTCTAAGTGTGATGAGAAGGGTTTTGAACGAGGGAGTAACCAAATGGATTCATAGAGAACAAACTGGGTCGGACTCTGTTCTAAGCAATTGCTGTCAACTGTTTTCACACATCTCTGTGTGTCTGTACAAATACACAAATGCAAGTAGATACTTTAAAGGGATTTTTGGCGTACATATATTATTGTTTTAAATTTTGCTTTTTTAAACTAAATATGTCCAATGTGTTTCCATATGGTTACCAACAGATCTGTATTTTTTAATACCATCTATATCAGGGGTCAGTGAAATTTTTCTGTAATGGGTCAGATAGTAAATATTTTAGGTTTTGTGGGCCAAGAGGCCAAATTGAGGTATATCAGTACTTTGGTAAAAAGTTACATGAGAAAAAGACATTTCCACAAAATTTTTATTAACAAAACACAAAATGAAACTGAATACAGTTTTTTTTAATACAGATCCACTAATGAGAAGAATAGAATTCCTTTTAGGGGGGCAATAAGAATAACATTTCACAGAATTGGGTTTCAGATTGCGTGTTCTCATAACCAACATTGCAGGTCTTTATAATGGCTAATGTGTAATAAGATTTTATGAATGTCACCTTTGAACTACCTTTTCACAAAGACACATAATTTCGAATTCTGACACCAGTCTACAAGCAGATCATTTTCATGGAACATGTTCATGCTTGGAAGACATTTGTGAAATTCTGTCAGATTCTTCTTCAGAATTCCCCCCCACCCCCGAAAAAAAAATCTATCCTTAGAATAGATTCTTCTCTTGATATGTGCCTTTGAGAATGTCTTTATATTGTAAATTACTCTAATTGAAAGTTAGATAGGAGCTCCTTAATTATACAGTTAAATGGAGTTTGAAATAGGAAATTCTTTTTGTTCTTGAATATAATCTGGAAAATGCTGCTGGAACTGTCATTTGAGTTCAAGGAAAATGTTGACAGCACATTTGCATTGGAATGGAGATCTCACAGGTCACCAATTACATAAAGCAGCTTGACATTACTCATTTGTACAAATGACGACCCACTCACCCCCTGACACTGTAATCATAGCTTTCAACCAACCGAAGTGGGTTTGAATTGCCCAGTAGATAAGGTTGATTGGTCTTCCTCCTAGCTGTAGCTTGGCTCCTGGTTACTTCTCACTAATGAAGGAGGACAGAGTGGTTCTACAGGTATCGAGGAATGGACACCATGCTTGCAAAGGACAGTTACTGATTCTTATCACATTAGAAGGCAATGCTGAGAACAGAACAGTCTCCCTGGTAAGCCTAGAGACGTTTTGTGACTTGGAGGCAATCCCCCAAGTAACTCAGTGTTCCAGAATGAGATAAGATCGGTCACTCACTAGTAAGCATGTGGTAAACATTGATGCTTAGTAGTTCTTCATGAGGGTTGTGGGGAAAGAACGCATGGCAATCCTTATGCATGAAGCCTTGTATGTAATTACCTTAACTCTCCACGCCTGTTGTGCACGTCATTACTTTAACTCTCCACACTTGTTGTGTATAACCTTAATAGCTGTTGCAGAGGGGGCTCTGTGCTACCCTGTACTGAAAGTTAGCCCACCTCCTGCAAACTTGTACTTCTAATCCATGTCATGCCTGGTTCCTTCATGCAGCGACCGAGACCAGGGCCTTAGGTTAAGGGTCACAACACACCACGAATCCACTAGCAAAAGCAGAAAAGTTCCTCCCACATCCACACTCCGCTCTTGTCTGTTAGTTAATACAGACTTTATCGTTTGCCTTGCATGATGGACGTATACATGTCAGCACCATGTCATGCGTGTTGTGAGCAATTCAATCATGTCCAGCTACTAGGTTCTTATTCACAGGTAATAGCCATCAATTGTTTGGGGGTTGATAGTAATTAACTACTTTTCTGCCTTATCTTATTAAAGACAAGTCTCAGACACAGACATTTATTAAACACTTATTGGGAAATAGGATGCCAGATAACCCCTGCTAGTGCGTAGATAGGGCAAAAAACCCATCCAGTTTTCTTGAATCCGTTAATTTAACCAAAAAGGAATTTTTTCTCACATCTGTTACTGTGATTAACAGTTAGCTGACAATGTCACCAGATAACAGCTCATTTCTGCGCTTCATTTGGGCAGCTAGCAAAGCATCTACTATCAGGCTGGAGGATTTATGGAACTGTCTCTGGAGTGTAATATTTCTGTTAACATTGTTGGCTGACTACCCCGGGTGTATTTTTGATGGGGATGAACTAACATACTTCATATCACATAATCTATGCTGAAGTATTATTTTAAATTATATCACAGCCATTATAATCCAATGTTATTTTGTCTTGGTGCATTAATTTCTGGGATAGAAATTACAGGTAAGGCTTGTGCTGACTTCAGCTGGTTGTTGTTTACTATCTGCAGCTCTAGGTTGGGAAGGATTATGAAGTTAGACCCTGGCTTTAAAGGAAAAAGTGATGTGATAAATGAGTAGTGTTTGCTAACTTTCTTTGATGTCTTTGTATTTTGATGATGATGATACTGTTAATCAAAAAATATATATAAATGGTGAAATTTTAGGTAATACAACTTACTGATAAAAATTCTGGGGCTGTGAAATTTATTTCTCTCAATGAATTGTATATAATGAAGGTAGAATGAAAGCTGGGAGAGAGAGGAGTTTAGGATCTGCGGCTTAAGTAGGGAGACCTGGACTGAATTGTGTTTCCCCAGCTGCCTGTGTTAAAAGCCCTTAACCCCCAATGGGATGATAGATGGTTTGTGGGGGTGACCTTTGGAAAATAGGTTTAGATTAGGTGGTGAGGGCATTCATGATGGGGTTAGTCCCACTGTAAAAAGATACCAGAGAGTTCTGTCTGCCATGTGAAACACACACGAGAAGGTGGCCGTCTGCAAGCCAGGAGGAGAGCCCTCACCAGAACCCAAGCATGCTGCCAACTGAATCTTGAACTTCCAGCCTCCAGAATTGAAGCTACCCAGTCTATAATACTTTGTTATGATAACCCAAG